ATTTTGGGTCCTACAGACTCGTTTTGGGTCCTACAGACTCATTTTGGATCCTACAGGCTCAGTTTGGGTCTTTCTTGGTCCTACAGACTCGTTTTGGGTCCTACAGGCTCATTTTGGGGCCTACAGGCTCATTTTTGGTAGAAACGAGGTCCCCCTATAACCCTAAGTACCTGAACAGCGTGTCGTTGTTGTTCTCCGGCTTCTGCGGGCTGTGGCAGTCGCTCTGGCCGTCGGGGACGAAGCCCCTCTGCTTCCTGAAGCTCTGCACGCCCTTCACCACGATGGCCACCCCGTCCCGCACCCTCCTCCTCAGGCTGGTCCTCCAGCGGTCGGTGATGATGCTAATGACCCCCACGGGGAAGCTATCGGGCGGCGGCTCATTTTTGCTAGAAACGATGTCCTAAAGGCTCATTCTGGGTCCTACAGACTCATTTAGAGTCCTTTTGGGTCCTACAGACTCATTTTGGGTCTTACATGCTCAGTTTTGGTAGAAACGAGGTGCTACAGACTCAGTTTGGGTCCTACAGGCTCTTTTTGGGTCCTAGAGACTCATTTTGGGTCCTTCTTGGTCCTACAGACTCATTTTGGGTCCTACAGGCTCTTTTTGATTCCTACAGAATCATTTAGGGTCCTTTATGGTCCCACAGACTCATTTTGGGTCCTACAGGCTCTTTTTGGGTCCTACAGGCTCATTTTTGGTAAAAACTAGGTCCTAAAGACTCATTTTTCGTCCTACAGGCTCATTTGTGGTAGAAACGAGGTCCTTAAGGCTCATTTTTGGTAGAAACGAGGTCCTACAGACTCATTTAGAGTCCTTTTGGGTCCTACAGACTCATTTTGGGTCGTACAGACTCATTTTGGGTCTTACATGCTCAGTTTTGGTAGAAACGAGGTCCTACAGACTTTTTTAGCCTTTCTCTGCATTACCCCCTATAACCCTAAGTACCTGAACAGGGTGTCGTTGGTGTTCTCCGGCTTCTGCGGGCTGTGGCAGTCGCTCTGGCCGTCGGGGACGAAGCCCCTCTGCTTCCTGAAGCTCTGCACGCCCTTCACCACGATGGCCACCCCGTCCCGCACCCTCCTCCTCAGGCTCGTCCTCCACCGGTCGGTGATGATGCTAATGACGCCCACGGGGAAGCTATCGGGCGGCGGCTCGTCCGGGTTCCCCACGGCAACGCTGGGCAGGATCCAGATGTATCCCGGCCCCACCAGCCCGGCCTCCGTTGCCATGGCGAACAGGTACCGGGCCTCCTCGTGCGAACAGTAGACCATCAGCACCTGGGCGTCGATTTGCTGAAGGAGGCGCCGCGCGCGGACGTCGTTAGCGGCGTCCGGCGCCATGTCGAAAGTGAGCACGTCCTGGAGATCCCACAGGAAGTAGCTGGTGTCCGCGAAGGACTTGACGTAGTCCACGTAGGCCTCGTAGCCCGGGTACAGGCTGGTGATCACCACGAAGCTGTCCCAGTTGTACTCCTCCATCACCTTGAACATGCCGGTCACCTGCTGCTCGATCGAGGAGCCCAGCTGGAGGAAGTTCGAGCCCTCGCCCTAAACGAGGAGGAGGAGGAAGAGGAGGATATGTATGTAGCATCACAACGAGCAACAGATTAGAAGCAACGCAAGGGCATTTATCCAAGAATTAGTCTGTAGTTTTTCAAGTTAGCCAGCAAATTCTATACATTTTCTAGGTGTCAGATAATAGTTATCAAAGTTAGACAGCTATTTTTATCATTGTTTAGCAAACTGTTTGCTAACTGTCAGCTAATAGTTATCCAAGAATAAGTTGATAGTTTTCCAAGTTAGCCAGCAATATTTATAATATTTTCAGCAAACTGTTGGCTAACTGTCAGCTAACAGTTATCCAAGAATTAGTTGATAGTTTCCCAACAGTTTCTCGATCCTGTCGCTTCGCATTACTAAACATAAGAAAGATCCGGCCGTACCTAACACAACATGCTACCCAGCTCCTGGTGCAGTCTATGGTCATCTCCCGCCTAGACTATTGCAACGCACTCCTGACTGGTCTCCCGGCCTGTACAGTAAAACCTTTACAAATGATCCAGAACGCGGCGGCGCGTCTGGTCTTCAATCTGCCCAAAAAATCTCACGTCACCCCTCTGTTCATTGAACTCCACTGGTTACCTCTGGCTGCCCGTATCAAATTCAAGTCCCTGATGCTAGCCTACAAAGTGCTTAAGGGTATGGCTCCCATCTACTTGAATCC